TGGGGAGCCTGTGTCCCTTTAACCATTTTGCCATTGCAGACTCATGACCTTTCCCTTAATTGTCCCCGCAGAATTTCTACAGCTCTAAACCCATAAGGCTGGAACATTTGAAATGACTTCTGAAAAGACTATGAAAAATGTAAGCAGAAAATAACATGAAACTAGGTCACTCAAGTGATAGCATGCGATTTATAAAATTTTATTTTCCATTAGAGGAGCCCCTCTTCCCTAGTCTCTGGCCTGCCTCAAGATAGTGCTACCTAATCTTAGGATCCACTCATACACCTCCTCCAAGTCTAGAGCTAAGAGAGCAAGTCCTGGGCAGAAATAGGGAGTGTCCTTGTCTACCGACATTCCCAAGGCCCCCCTCCTGATCTATTTTCTATCCTAGGATCTGCTTCTTTTCCAGATGATTGAAACTTGCAATGACTCCCTTGTTCATATCAGAATTATACACCACGCAGTGACCTCACCTTTCATACAAAAGCTGATCAGGGCAGTGGCCATTTTCTCACACTAGTTACAAACCTAAGCAATTCTCTGCAGGAAACACACGGCTTCCTCAACAGGGTGGTGCTTCCAACACACCTTCCTAAAGCCACTTTCAAACAGATGTTTTCTAACATCCAGCACCAACCTTGGCTTTCAGTTGGAACTCACACACTTTCTCCCCAGTCTTAAAAGCCATATCAAATACTTAGAAGTATTTCCCTGCCTTCTCTGAGGTGTTTCAACCAAAGGCCTGGGGTCAGAGGCATCTAAGTGTTGAAAAGACATTGTTACTATCAAATTGGATTTCAAAGGATTTTGGAGATATAAGAAACCACAGAGATCACTTGATGCTACTCTTGTGGGGTACTGAGGCTGGAAGTGATTAAATGACTTGCTGAAGGTCCCAGAGCTAAAGAGTCACATCTAAACAGAATAATCTAAACAGAAGTGTAATCATGACCGGAACTTTTTATTACAGAATTAGATGATACTCATAAATACACACACATGCACACACACATGCAAGATGATAGAATTAGTAATTAAAGTCATAAAGGAAAGATTATTTGTGTTTTGTATACAATTTTAGATGTTTGTGATGGGTGTCTTAAGGTATGCATGGAAACAAATCTAGACTTCTAATAGATGGAATGAATAAATGAGTTTGAGAAGAAAATCTAATTCCATCCATTGAATACAGAGCTCTAAGGGTAACAGTAAAATTTAGACATGATCCTACCCTTTAGAAGTTCATAAAGGGTAGACATATACTTAAATAATTCTAATATAAAGCAGACTTTGACCAACACTGTCACAATTTAATAAGGAGTTCAGGATCACTATATGTGAATAGTGATATAAACAAGGAAAATTACCAGTACAAACAAATTACATGTGTATAAGTATGTAGTGGGTGTGTAGATACATGTGTGTAGATATGTAGCAGCTGCCCATTCATACACATATTATTTTTTCACTGCATTATTATAAGCACTCAGTAAACAAGGATGGTGGCATTTGGAATGAATTCTTGTACAACTTCCAGCTCAGTTTTATGTACACAAAGATATTTTAATGGTCTGTCTCTTATGTCTTAGTTTGATTCTATGGTCTGATGAAGTAAATATATTTCTAGTCCAGACCTCTCCTCTGAGCTCCAGACCCATATATCCAAGTCTCTTTGCCATCCTCTTGGGTGTCTCAAAGGTACCCAAAGCTCAACATGTTCAAAATGGAACCTGATCCTTCTTCCACTGTTCCCTATGTCAGTTAATGGCATCATTGTCTGCACAGCTGTGCAAGCCAGAAACCCGGAGCTAGAACACAATCTCCCTGTGGTCAGGCACCTGGCCCATCTTGTTTGCTGCTGCAGCACAAGGCACAGCATGGATATTTAATAAGTCCTGTGGAATCACAGCCTGCAGTCTCTAGGCCGCGTTCATTTCCCTCCTTCTCCACCATTACTACTCAGCCCAAACTGCCATAACCTCTCACTGGCACTACTGCAATAGCCTTCTAACTCCCCTCCCTTCACCCACGCTCAGCCCTATTCTGTGTCCTCTTCAGCCAGTGATCTTTTCAAAACATAAATCTGATCCTAAGACAAGCATTCTTGCCTTGGCCCCTGAGGCTGTGTATGGTCTGTATCTTACCACTTTCCCAGCCTTATCTGATACCATGATTGTCCTTGCTCTTGGGATCTAGTCATTAGCCTTTTCTCAGTGCCTCCCATCACTGCTCTCTCTTGCCACAGGCCCTTTGCACATATTGCTTTCTCTGTTTGGACCATTCTTCTCCTCTCCACCCACTTAACTTCTACCATTCCCCAATGTCACTCCCAGAGAGGCTCAGATGCATTTGATGTCCTGATGTTAACGGCATTTGATGAAAATATCATAGTCAAATTAAGTGGAAAAATGCTGACAAGAGATACCTTCACAGCACTTGTCATGGTTTTATTTTTACATTTGTTTATATAATAATTTTCTGCATAAAACTTTTCATGACTCGTAAGAGGTTTTTGTCTGTCTCCCTGTCAGAGGTCAAGGATCTAGTCAAGGACGATTTAAGGACAAGTCACCACTTCTCTCCATTTATTTTTTTAATCTTCACCTGAGGATATGTTTTTATTGATTTGAGAGAGAGGAAAGGAGAGAGAGAAAATAAAAACATCGATGTGAAAGAGAAACATTCACCAGCTGCCTCCCATAGGTACCCCTACCTGGGATCAAACCCGCAACCTGGGAATGTGCCCTGACTGAGAAGCAAACCCGCAACATTTCGGTGTACAGGATGACACCCCAACTAGCTGAGCCATCCAGCCAGGCTTCATGTATTTTTGGAAATTGCCATCAAATATATTTAACTGTATTCTTTTTTTTTCTATTAGACATAAATCCTCAAAAAATAGATCCCACTCTGTTTTTGGATTAAAGTTTACAAAGATCCTTCCCTAGTACAACATAAATGTTTAATAATGTTTGATAGCCCGGCCGGGCGTGGCTCAGCGGTTGAGCGTCGACCTAGGACCCAGATGACCTGGGATCCAGGCGATCAGGGTTCGATTCCCGGTCAGGGCACATGCCGGGGTTGCGGGCTCGATCCCCAGTCGGGGGTGTGCAGGAGGCAGCTGATCAGTGACTCTCTCATCATTGATGTTTCTCTCTCTCTCTCTCCCTCTCCTTTCCTCTCTCTGAAATCAATAAAGATATAAAAAAAATAATAATGTTTGATAGAAATACCCCATGATGATAGATTGGGAGGTCCTCCTTAGCTCACAAATGCTTTATGAGATGGTTTAAGCCTGAGGCAGGGTATGGACCTTTCCCTGATTTTAGGATTCACTAAAATCAAGCAAAGAGGAGACTTTCCAGGTTATCTTCTCAGATACATATATATATATCTGAGATATATATGTATCTATCTATCTATCTATCTATCTATCTATCTATCTATCTATCTATCAATCTATCTATATGTGTGTGTGTGTATATATATATATATAAAACTTCTCTTTTCTTGAAAGGTACAGAAATAAGTAAGTTGACCCAGTCTTACATAATCAGATGGTTAGAACCACTTAGGCAGACTAGATGTTTCAAACAGACCCTGTATATATAAGAATTTATTATGCAATAAAGAAGGATCATAAAGCCAATAAGGAAAGGGTGAGGTTATTCGGTAAGTTATGTTTTTATACTTAATTAGGACTTTGTGGAAAAAAGTAAAATTTATCTTTATACCACATCATATACCAATATAAATTCCAGAGATATTAACACATAAAATACTAAAAATTCCAGCCAAAAAAGTCTATGTGAAAGACAAGTGAATATTTATCTGATGTTTACCTTCTAAGCTTAAGATCAATGGAAAACGTTACCCCTCCCCCCATAGAGTATTTTTGTCTATACAAAAATTAAAAAATAATGACCAAATTAAAAGGTAAGGAACAAAAATGGAGGAAAAAATAGACTATCAGAAACTATACAAAAGGACAATATCTACATAAGGATACACATTTATAAATTAGTAGAAAAGTACTGAGACCCCAACAGAGAAGTTAGGCAAAGGATACAAATGGACAGTTCACATGTAAAATAAAATAATTGATTGACACACATGAAAAAATATTCAATTTTGCTAGAAGTCAAATAAATGCAAACTACATTACTTTACAGTTGCATGAATGCAGCAATTACCATTTTAATCTACCAAATTAACGTACATAAAAATGTGTAATACTCAATATTGGTGAAGGTTGGGTGAAGGAGCTTTTCCAGTACGTTATCAGGGCAGTGATATTTGTCATTATGGATAATGAACACTAAGAATGTTCAAGTTTTTGACCCATTTTCCAAAATATATCCTAAGGAAAGAAATCTAAATATCGATAGTGTTTTATGCACAAAGATTTTCATATAAGTGTTATAGTATTATGTTCAATAATAGATGGTTAAAAAAAAACTAGTTTATATTCACATAATGAAATTAAGCAACCATTGGAAATTAAGTATATGAAATAGTCTAATAAAATGAGAAAATATGGGGAAAATAGAACATAAAATTATATGTATTTTGTACAAGTATAATGTCAACTACATTTAATGTGTACATAGAAAAAAATACTGGAGGAATAAACCACTGAAACAGTAACAGTTATTATTTTTCCAAGGTGGAATACAAGTGATTTTTAAAAACTTTTTTCTACTTTTATTTTTCAGGTTTCCTATGAACCAATTCTCACTCCTTTCCTAGATAAAAACTGAGGCAATGCCATAAAAACAAATGAAGTCTTGTTACACTCTACAATCTGGATGAATCTTAAAAACATTGGGCTATGTAAAAGGAACCAGACAGAAAAGGCCACATATAGCATGATTCCATTCATATGAAATGTCCAGAATAGACAAATCTGTAGAGACGGAGAGCAGATTAGTGGTAGCTGAGGGAAGGGGGAAGAGGAATTGGGACTGATTGTTAATAGGTATGGGGCTTCTTTTTCTTGTGATGGAAATGTTCTGGAATGATATAGTGGTGATGGTTGCACAACATAGTGAAGATACTAAATACCACTGAATTGCATATTTTAAAATGGTGAATTTTATGTTATGTAAATTATAGCTCAATAAAATAAATAAAAAGGGACTTGAAATTAGAGAGAGAGAAAGAGAGAAACTGAGGTGAATGAGTGCTCTAGGTTAAGAATTTAATAGAGCCCATTTTCAAATTCTAATTTCTTTGTGTTCTCAAGGGAGCCCTGGTTCTAGGCCTGAAGGACCTCCCTGAGTGGTGTGTATGCCAGAGAAGATGAGAGGAAGAGGGAGAACAAGAGAGGACAAAACATTGCTCTGTGTTTTGTGACTGATTGGCTCCCTTAGGATCAGAGATGTTTTACAAATTATAAATAGCTATTGAAAAATGAAAATGTAAAATGATACTATTTATAATAACATTCAAAACATCAAATACCTAGAAATAAATCTAACAAAAGATATACAAGACGTCTATATAGAAAACTACAAACATTGAAAGAAATTAAATTTTAAAAGAACATACCTTGTTCATTGTTTGTAAGATTCAATATTGTAAAGATATCAAACTTTCCCAAATTGTCCTATAAATTCAATGCAATCTCAGTCAAAATTTGAGCAGGTTTTTTTCTTAGACGTTGACAACTGATTCTAAAATGTATATGAAAATGCGAAGGGCCAAGAATAGTCAAGAAATCTAGATGGAGGAAGAACAAAACTGAAGGCTTTACATTACTAGATATCAAGATGTATTATAAAGCTATGATAACTAAGACATTATGCATTGGTTCAGGAGTAGACTAATAACTAGACCAATGGAAGAGAATAGGGTTCATAAATGAATCCACACATACGGTGACACTGAAGAGTTGGTGGAGGAAAGCTGGGTTTTTAATCAATGGCACAGTGTCTATTAGATATATTTATTAAAAAAATAAACAGAAAAAGAATCCTGACCCTTATCTGATACTATATGATAGGAAAATTTTGTGCTTCAATGGAAAACTGCATTTTCTGTAGCACACCATCTGGGTTATCTGATTTTGGTTTTATGGCAGCTATTTTATAACTCTGTAACTTGTGGATAATTGGTAGCAATGCAAAATTCATGAAAATAAATGCTGTCTGGTTGAGGGATACCCTCCCCCCAACCATGGAAAAAACAGTTTTGCCTCAATTTGCATATTCATTTCAACATTTCTGATCTATAAATGTGTCTGTTCTTTGGGTCCATCTTTGAACAGGTGTTAACATCTTGCCAGTTTTCCTTCTTAATAAGTTAAACAATTCTCATATGTGTTCATTTTTATATTTGTATGAGAATCATGATTTTATCTTTCTATTGGAAATTTATCTTTTAACAAGGCACAACAGTAATTCCAGGTGGGTGGTTAACCTAAATGTGAAGGATAAAGCAAATAATTCATCTAGAAGATTATAAGAAACATATTCATGACTTTGGAGAAGCAAAGATTCCTTAAACAGGACATGAAAGCACTAAGCATAAAAGGAAATGTTGAAAACTCAGATTTCATTAAAAGTAAGAACTGCTTTTCACCCCGAAACTCCACTAAGAGAATGAAAAGGCAAGCCACAGAGTGGGAGAAGACATTTGCATTACATTTTTGGGACAACAGTATTATATATGTATACATATTATATATATAACAAATATATAACAAAAAGGTATCGTATATATTATATATAACAAATCAATGAGAAGACAGACAACTGAAAAGAAAAATGGAGGAAAGAAACAAATAGGCACATCACAAAAGACCAAATTCAAATGGCCAATAAATAAGCAAGCGCCCCATTAGTCATCAGGAAAATACAAATTAAAATCCCTGCACACCCATCAGAAGGGCAAAATGGAAAAGACTGACAATTCAAAGGTTGACAAAAATGTGGAGAAACTGGATCTGTCAAACATTGCTGGTGGGAGTATAAATCGGTACAACTATTTTGGAAAATTGTTTGGCAATATCTCTTAGTGCTAACCATATAGCCGCCCTATAATCCAGTAATTCCATTCTTAGGTGTGTGTGTATGTTTATGCATATGTACCAAAGATATAAAAAGTGTATAGCAAATTTCTTTCTAGCAGCCCTGTATTTGTTTCCTGTGGCTATCACAACAAATTACCACAAACTTGGCTGCTTAAAACAGCAGTGATTTATTTTCTCCCTGTCAGTTCTGGAAGCCAGAAGTCTAAAATCAAGTTGTCATCAGGGCTGCACCCCCTCCAGAAGCTCTTGGGGAGATTCTGTAACTTGTCTCTTCTAGCTTTCCTTGGTTTGTGGCTACATCACCCCAATCTCTGCCTCCACCTTCTCATGGCCTTTTCCCTTTCTGTCTCTGTAATCTCCCTCTGCCTCATTCTTTTCGAGACACTTGTCTTTGGATCTAGAGCCCACTTGGATAATCCAGGATGATCTCCTCATTTTAAGATTTCAAGATCCTTAACTTAATTATATTTGCAGATTTCC